GTTTTTTCTCTAGAAAATAATATTTAATAAACGTATTTTATATTCTGCCGAAGGTGCCGGTTATTCGAATGTTTTGCCTTACAATAGAAAAACAATAGAAAAGAGTGTCTTGATTCAACATAGCTGAGACAAATCTCAATTTGTTCGACGTTTTGTAACTGGAGATATACTTTCATAATAAGTTGAATGACCTCAAGTCGGGATATTTTGATCCATCAATCTGTTCATAACAGTAATTTCTGCCAATGAAAATCGAGTTTTCCCTTATTTGGTTTCTTATTCGTTATTCATCTTTTCAATCAATATTCGTTGAGTGGAACATTGAATAAATAGCCTTAAAGACTATTGCAAAAAAGCATTTAAGAGAGAGTATCGTCCCCATTCAAATGATGTAGATGAATTCTTCAGAAAAAAATTACAGTTTTAAAAAACTCAAATGCTGTGTGGAAGTTGGGATGAATTTTGGGACAGAAAGTCAATGCGATTCGAAAAGAGCAATTAGTAAATCAAATAGATATAGGTCAAATCATCAACAAGAAGAATTCGTTCATGTCAGTCTCAACTCATCTATACTGTAGGTTAATGGACTGACACCTATCAGAAAACAACTACTCCTCTGGCTGATACCACGAAGAGCGTTGGATTATATCCGACAGGTGTCAGCCAGTGCAGGATTCTTCACTGAAGTTGTTCCTGCATTGTTGTTGTTTTATTATAGGTGTCAGACCATTAACCTACAGTGTAGGTAAGTTGAGACTGGCCTGAACGAATTTTTCTTGGTAGTTTGATTTATAGCCAGTCTTGAAGAATGCCCACTTACTTTATGTAAGAATATAGGCCGATAAACTGCAAAAAAAGGAAATAATATTGAAAATATTTTCATTTTGGAAACCTTGAAGACTTTATGCCGAATAAGTAACTTCGAACAATTTATTCCTGCAAGTTCCACTTCTATGTAGATATTTTCTCAAGATGAATGTAATTCTGTAGTCATCCATTCTACCTCGAGACAGACAATTGTCTCTCTTTGTAACGCTAGTTGTCCTCTATCGCCACTAACCATCAAAGCAAATCCAATTTAGCAGCGAAGGCCACTTTCTTTCGACCGATTTATTTCTGGAATCGCTGTAGTTCAGGGTTACTCCTTTGATATTTAGAGTCAAGGGGTGAGAAATGTTGACACTATATCCTTTGTTTCCTTGTTTGCGGTTCAATATTGAACGTTTCGCCGCATTTCACTCTGGGGAATTTACCTGTGCTACCGCGTGTTCCAGATATATTGATCTTTTAGGAGTTTGGTGGGTTTTGAAGGTTTTTGAATTTGTACACGCGATCTTGTAAACGGAAATAGTTTTGATTTCTTCATGCAATAGCATTTTCCTTCTTTACAAAACTCGTAAAAACTATTTTCGGTCAACCTTTTTTCAAAGTTACTTATTAAACTTTATATACTCGTGGATGGGTAGGGAAGATTGAGATTTCAATAACTTTTTTGAACTGTCACCTTGCTTTGATTTAGTTTCTAAGGTGATGCGGACAACTGGAATTAGTATCAATTCTGTCACGACTTTGTATTTCAGACAATAATGTTTCAGACCATCAAATGATGAATTTAATTTGAAATTATCAAGATATAGAAGGATTTTCTCTGAAGAAGATATAAACAATTGTTAAATAAATTAACAATGTAAACTGGATTGAACTGTATATTCAAAGTAACTTGATTGATTGATTTATTTCAACAATCTTGAATCTATCCTTTCAATTTGAATTTTCTTTGAGGAAACATGCAAAAAGATAGGTGAATCAAGGAGTTGAAAGTTCTAGCTTAAGCTGAAAAAGGCACCAAGTATGAAAATAAATATAGTTTTAAAAAACTAAAAAACACGCTTTTATTATTATTATTATTTATTTCAATAGGTAGCATATATATTATCACTTTCTGTCTACTTTTTCACCCCAAAATGCTGAAATCCCCAAATATTCAAATATTACTTTCAATTTGTGTAACTTACATTCTTTAAAATAATAACACTTCGACAATAATATTTTATCTTCGACAATATCTTTTAAGTTGTGTATTTTATATTTCTTAGAATAGTAAGACTTTGTCAATGAGATTTCATCTTCAACAATAAAGTAAATTTTGATTTGAATTGATTGCAATAATTGATAGTTATATACAGCGCCACCTGTTCGCAAATAGATCAAGCAATAATTGATAGTTACGTACACCGCCATCTGCCCGCGAATAGATAAAAAAAATATCAATTAGGTTACGAACAGCGCTATCTGTTAATGCAGATCCCGATCTTGAGAGTTACACACAAACATGCATACAAACAATCATACATACATACAGGTGAAGCTAATATAAAGCGTGTAAAAAAGATTTTCTATCGCGATGAAATAAGTAATATCAGTAGTGAGAATGTATACAGGGTGTTCCAATGAAAACTTGACCTCCCCTGTAAGTCAGAAAATGACGTGTAATCGAAAATTTCAAAGAACACGTCAATTTTCATTTCTTTTCTAGAGGGAATAATTTTGATATGGAAATTATACCCATAACTTCACCTTCCTGCGGTCAGCCACGACTCCCCTTAATATTTTCAACGGCATGGAGGATCGAATGATACATCATTTGAAAGGTCTATTGTCTCTCTATTATTTCTGTGAATTTCTACGAAATTGGTCCACTCTTTATTGAGAAATTGAATGTTGAACGTTTTATTTAAGAAAAAACAAAAAATTCCGCTGTTGATCATTTTATTTACATAATCAACAAATGTAATATCAATGGCCACACAATCAACGGATAAAGTGTTTAAAATGACCTCCATCTAGTTCCATACTTCCACTTTCGGAAGCGTTTCTTACATTATTGAAGATGTCCGGAGTCAGAATTCGGCATTCCCGAACAATTTTCTCTCGCAGGACTTCAAGATTTGTAGAATTCATTTAGTTAATAGTAAACCTTTTGAAAAACTATTAGTTTTTTCTGCATTGATAGTTTTTGTTGAATCTAGTTGTCGCAGAACAAAAAGTAGATAGTTGGCCACTGTCACTTCTTCATGAATTATTATTTAGTCATCCTTGTTCACTGTGTTCCAACATGGTTTATTCTACTGAAGAAAGAATACGAATTGTTGCAACCTATTATCGAAATAATGAATGTGCTAAAGCTGCTGCAATAATTTATAATACGAATCATTCAGACCACAACGTGAGCCATCAACACGGTAAACAGAACACCTGCGACAGGGAATTGTTCAGGAATGCCTATGTCTGACTCTGGACATCTTCAGTAGATAGATAGATAACTTTATTAACTACGTAAATACAATGTATATTTGTAGCAGGTCCAAAAAGATGTACATTTGTAAGGTCCTGTAGATCTAAACTACACATGGAATCAATAACATAACTATTTCAGGTATTACTACAACTACGCGTATCGCTGACAGGTGTGTCCATATACTAACGAATTGAATAGAACCCATTTTTTGAAAGAAATCTTTTTAATTTTTTTAATAATGTAAGAAACGCAACAGAAAGTAGAAGTAGACTGTATATTTGTATGAAACTAGACGGAGGTCATTTTGAACACTTTATCCGTTGATTGTGTTGTCATTGATATTACTTTTGTCGATTTCCTCAATAAAATGAGCGACAGCGAATTTTCTGTTTTTTCTTAAATGAAACGTTCAACATTCAGTTTCTCAATAACGAATGAACCAATTTCGAAGAAATACCTTTCAAATGATTCATCACTCGACACCCCATCCCATTGAAAAAAATAGGGGAGTAGTTACTGACCGCAGGGGGGCGAAGTTTCGGGTATGATTTTCATTATCAGAATTAGTCCCCCTAGAAATAAAAACCGACTTGTTCTTTGAAATTTTCGATTACACGTCCGTTTCTGACTTACAGGGGGGGTCAAGTTTTTGTTGGAACGCCCTATATAAACGGGTCCATGCAATTCATCATAATGTACTCCATCATAACATCAAAGGAGAAAAATCGCAATGCATCATAACGCTACAAAATCATAATCGTAAGCCGTCATAATCGCAATTCATCATAACGTAAAACATCAGAACGTACTTTGTCATAAAGTACAAAATCATAACGTACTTATAGAAACGTCAACCGATCATAATCGCAATGCATCATATCCACATTGTATCATAAACTCAATGTATCATATCGCTAAAGCGTAGAAACCGCATTGTACAGAATCCGTATTCCATCATAACCGTAATGTATAGAATCCGTAAAGTATCATAACGTAATCATTTTTTTCATATGGTATGGTATATCACCATTTGAGATGGTGTCCACTCCATTAGTGGTTTTAATTTTTTCCTAAAAAAATCGCTGATACGATTTCTTGTATTTCAACCTATAAAAATATTTGCTGCAGGCCTTGGTTTTTGTAGAAAGAAAATGATACTTGATCCCAAAGTATCTACAGTTTTTTGAGCTCTACAATTTAAAATCAAGTTCTTCGATATCGGAGAAAAGATGCAAATTTTAGGGAGGTGTTCCACTTTTAAGTGTATCACACTGTATATAGTACATTCCAATGATTGATGTATTGAATATAAATGTGAAAAACAAATTATGTTTATCGTTTTTGAGGTAAAAGCGGTGATATCTGCAGGAAAAGACAGAGAACGAATTTAGTTCGGCGGTTGATGCCGAAGCTTGGTTTTGCGTACTACCTTGTAAAATCTGTCATCTTTGATATTTGTGGATGTGGAATGGATTGAGGGCCAGACTTAGTCAGACTTGTCTTTTAAGGACAGCCTTGGTTAAACCTACCACTACTGATGAGATCTAAAGCAGTCATTAACAGCTCTGTCCGGTGTTGGATTAAGAATATTGTGTTTTTGGGTTTAAATTTTTGATCTGTCTGTTTAAAAAAATCTGTTTAATGTATTAATGTATATAATGAATAGCTAATGACAGAGTTTTTCGCCAGAGAGAAAGACAAATCGTTTTGAATATTATTTATTTCATAAAGAAATAATTTTCTCAATATGATAGCTATTAGAAAAATACTATGCGCATTATTTCCAAGACTGTAACAGGTGATATTCTCATTATGTTGCCGTCCACTTCGCAAGGCATCCCATCATACCCATTGCGGCTTCTACAGCAGTAACACCATTTCTTTTACTGCACTCGTGTACGATTCGATCAATTTTGAGTGGGTCTACACCGGTGCGAATCAGGAACTTTCTGAGTCCTTCTACGTCCACGTCTCCGTTGGGTTTGAATGTTCCCATTTTGACTCCTACGCAGAGAGTGTGGGCGGCAAAGGAGTTTGGACCGGCCCCCTCACCTATCCTTGAGGCAGGATCCTTTTGACATTCTAGGTGGTACCTCTCTGCTTCCTCTCTATCACTCTCACTAGCATGGGCCTAGAAATGAAAACATTTTATGGAATTATATCCAGTTTCAAGTAAATTATCTAAAGATATGTCTCTACGATACGATGAATTCCGCTTTTCTGAGTATTCGCCAAATTTGTATATATGCTAACTCTAAATTACAAAGCGAGCAATATACAATGACCTTGACATTTTTCAATGTTAATAAACGGAAACGAAGTAACTCTGCCATATTATCTCAGATTTTTTTGAAAACATGTTCATTGAAAGAGAAAAAAAAGAAGCCTCTTCTACAATAGATAAGTGTTAACATCAAGTGCAAAAACGATAACATTTTATGTTAACATCGTTATTCATCTATGTATAAGACCATTTGGGAAGATGTTTAAAATGATTTCCTTGAATATCCTGACAGTAAAACAGAAATCATTTTGGAATTTTTCTGAAGTAATGAAAGCAGAATTTTCGGAAATTCTGTCTCTGAGTGCCTGTATTTTCCCAGCTTGAGTAAGATAAACATTCGAGATTTAGCCTTCGGCTACTCTTACATCTAACCCCTGATGCTCATCTAGAGTTGATAATACCCTATGGCTCTATAAATTACAAAATTAAAAATATACTAACTAAAAAATCAGACATTACTAAGTTTGTTCGACCAACATTCTCCTACATTATTCACTGTGCAGATAGTAAAGATTCTTTTATAAACTTTTTAAATGCTCTCAATAGACACAACGATTTCTATCTGTTTCTCGTCTTGCCAATATCTTCGCCTTCGTCCATGTTATCCTCTCTTTTCTTGTGTATTGCGAAGTGTCACATTCAACGTTTGCCAATGTATTTTTTCTTCCACATCTATTTTTGCTGCCCAAGTCTTCTTCACCTGCCTTTTATTCTCAGTTGCTTTATTTCGATGAAATCCACCACTGATTTCATTTCCACGTATTTCCTAACTTTTATTATTTCCCAATCTTTCTCTTTTCTTCAACTCTTCTAAGATACACCATTTCTACCGCCTGTAGACAGGTCTGTATATTGACAGGTCTGTATATTGACTTGGATACATTCATTTTTGTTTTTCTAGATTTATTGTTCAATTGCTTGATATAGCAATGATTATTGTCTCTACTTGATTATCAACTTCTTTCTCTTGTTATCCATTGTGATCTATTTCCACAGTCAAATACCCGAGAAAGTTTCCACTTTTTCAATGTTTACTTTCATTCTCAAGTTGCATATTTATATACGCCTGTTCGCCATTTCATTTTTTTTTAAATATTCCGTTCTGTACTTCTGTATTTTCCTGTATTTTTATTTTATTTTCTGTGAACAGAACAGGAGGCATCTCCTTCATATCGGCAGGTGTAGGCCAAGACTCGCCGAACAAACACTCTCTTAGTTACGATAACTCCGGGCACTCGCATAGGATATGCCTGACAGTCTCATCTTCCTATTCACACATCCTGCATAGGGGTGAGTCCACTAACCTCATATTATGGAGGTGTTTCCTTAGTTGACAGTGGCCAGTCAGAAATCCTACTGTTTTTCCTGGTCATCGCCAGATATTTGTTCGGCGCCAGCTTCCCAGGGTCGCCTAGGGTGATCCTCGCAAGATTGCATCTTTTGATTCCATCCCATCTCTTTAGGGATTGAGCATGGGTGTAACATTTGGCTAGTTTTGCAATTATCGAAGTCATCAGGCCGTAGGTGCCACTGGGCTCTAAAATTCTTAGTCCAGCCGCTTTCTTGGTTAAAGAGTCGGCAATGCGATTACCTTTATTTCTGTCGTGCCCTTTAACCCACTTCAGGATAATGTTAATATCTACCGAGGCTTTGGCTTAATCTTGGTGGCACTCTAGTACTAGCCCTGAGGTAACAAGTCTGTTCAAGGCTAATAGGGCTTGCCTGCTGTCAGTGCAGATTGTTTTTGCCAGAAAGTTCTTTCCTGGTTATTTCTTTTGTGGCGATTGAGATACCAGCTAGTTCTGTTTGAACCACGCTGGTATTTTTTCCCATTCCCCACTTAATCCTCAGGCTCAGTGATCTGGAGTACACTCCACCTCCTGAACCTTCTTTGTTTTTTAACCCTTTCGTATATATGCGTATTGCATTTGTAGCATCTGACTCTGTGATCTGTTTTATTTTTATTTTGTAAGGTGTATTGAACACAAACCTGGGTTCAATTGCGTCACTGGTTGCCTGCAGCAGATGTTGCGCAGTAAGAGCTTCTCGCCATAGGCTCAGCCTCAATTGACCCATTCCTACTTCGAGGTCTAATGATTTTTAAAATAGTAGAGGAAATTCGCCTAATATGGGGGTAGTGCCTAATATGGAGTAGTTCAATTTTAAGCAAGTAATTGTTCCGATACCTATTGTGAACATTAAAAACTAACCACCGACTTCCTAGAAAGCGCCCATTTACGTTTTGGAGCAAACTTGTGTTGCATTTCGATAGTTTAGGTTATGGTAATTTTGTGTATATTTAAGGAAACTCAAAGGTAAGTTTTTAACGAGCGTAGAAAGGTACGTAAAGATGAAGGGAGCGCCTGAAGAGATTGTGAATTCTTGTTTAGGATGAAAGATAGTCTATCCAAAAGAAATGGAGTCAATTCTCGCAAATCACTGCTTAGAAATGGATTTTTTTTTGGAATTACTCGAAAAGACGTGTGCAGATCGGCATACAGCTTATGCAAGGCTAATAGTATAAAAAATCCATTTAGCGTAGCAAAAGAAAGGGCTGGAAAGAAATGGTTTACTGGATTTATTGAAAGGCACAAAGAATTGTCATTGAGAACGCTCCAATTAACAGAGAAAATGTTGCAACATTTTCTGATTTGTATGATCCACTTCTTAAAAATATAAATCAAAATCCAACCAGGATCTTCAACTGTCATGAAACTGGCCTAACCATAGTTCAACACAAGTATATTAAAGTTGTGGGAAGAAAAGGAAAAAAACAAATTGGTGCAATTACATCAGCCGAGCGCGGATCTTTGTTGACCACAGTTATATTTTTCAGTGCAACAGGCCAATATATACCGCCCCTTTCAATTTTTTCACGTCATAATATGCGTGTCACATATCTGGTTGGATCCAACAAAATATATTTGTAAAATGGCTTCGCCATTTTATTAATATAACTAAGCCCAGCGTTGACGATTCAGTGGTGTTATTCCTGGATAGTCATTACTCTCATACGAGAAATTTGGAAGTCGCAACTGAGGCACGAGAAAACCATTTTAACATAATATGCCTTCCACCCCATTCGACTCATCGGATGCAACCTTTGGACGTAGCTTTTAACTCACCACTGAAAACCTTTTACGCCCAAGAGATCACAAACTGGCTTGGGCTTAACCCAGGACGTGTTGTATCAGGCTATCAAGTGGGAGAACTTTTTGGGAAAGCCTATATAAGAGCGGCCACCATGGATACAGCTATAAACGGGTTTAAAAAAACTGAAATGTTTCCTCCTGTTAGAAACGCATTCAAAGAAAATGATTTTGTGGCAGAAATGCAAGTAGCAATTATTGAAGAAAAAGTAGAGGAAGACACAGTAGAGGAAGAACAATCAGATAACAACGAGCCAAAAGAAAAAATCCCTGAAAAACAAGTTACCCCTCCAAGACAGCAAACCGCTGAGAGACAGGTTACCATATCGTTTTTCTATTATTTTCAAAAACAAATGTAGAGTGGCCAATGGAACATAATTTCTATATAGATCAATGTCCAGATTATTTCTTTGACAAATATTACAAAGCATCAATTTAAAATTATTAGATAAAACAAGCAACAATTGAGAGCGATTTGTTATTGTTTATTTCGAGCACTGAAAACTCACCAAAGCCAGGATGACAACAACGAAAACTGCAATGCACTTCATGATTCACCTCTTCTAAAATGAATCCTCTACTCAGAGATTTATTATATACCTACCATCGAACGGGTTATTCCCTGGACTGTGATGTACATTGGAAATTACAGTGTACAAATATGCCAGTCAACTTGTTTGTGGGACATGATCTTTGATTTAAAACAAGAGAAATATGTCGTTATCTAACTTTTTATTAGTTTTATTTGAGTATAAGAATGAATAATAAATAAATCTATAATTATAAATGCGAAAGTCACTCAACACTCATTCATTTATCTCTGTTTCTCCGTACTGGTGAATCCTAGGAAGCTGAAAGTTGGTATATAGGTGCTCCTTAAGTCTTAAATCCGCACTAAGAAAGGATTTTCAAATATTCCAACTGGGGAACCCCTGGTGGAGGTAAAAGGGGAGCGTTTACATATGGGACGTCCCCCGTAGAGGTTAAAGGGGCGCTTTACATATGAAAATTAATTTTTCATTACTGTTTCTCCATACCACTATATTTTTGGGGGCTGAAATTTTGTAAGTAGGTTCGTTTTATGTTGTAGATGTGCACCATGGAAGGATTTTCAAATATTTCTACTAACCAGACCAGATACGACCAGATGGCATGTCTCTCATACCATGGAAATACGGTAAACCTGTGGTATGGGACTTTACTTGCGTTGACACGGTCGCGGCTTCCCATCTAGGGTGTAATGTTGTGTCACG